GTTTTAATTGTTTAATTTTTATTTTTTATTATTTGATTAAAACTTTTTATTAAAATTCTTAATATGATAGCCGCATTGGTTTTAAAATTTTTATTCTTAACTTTGCCCATAAACTCGAAAAACGTTATTTTGAATATTGTTAATTTCCCCTAACTATCACATTCCCAGGAATTGTAATGGGTGTGGCCTCTCAATATTTTCAATTTTTCTCGTGTTTCTTTACGACTGAAAAGTTAATTTTTTTTTGGAAAAGTTGCGTAGCGAAACACTCTACAAAACCATACCTGAAGTTTAATTTCAAAACTTCAATCAAGAAAACTACCCAGATTATACGAAAGACAAAAAACTGCATCCAAAACGATTTCATATGTGAACATTTTGAAAGTGAGAAAAATTGAATTAGCCATTTTGTAGCCCTCACTTCGCTCTATCTTTTAGCTACACTTCAAATTTTTTCACATGAAAACCCATGAGATATAATGATTTTTCTATCTATTATCGGGCCATTTTCTTATCACTTTTTTAAATTCTAGGTATAGTGGTGCTTTTACTAAAAAAGTTCCATAATTCCATCAAAACAAAAGCTTTTTCGATCGGGTTTGTTTTGTTTTATTCAGAAATGATTACTCTTTTCCACCTAACCGCAAAATCAAAACTTCAATCATATTTTTTTGTTTCTTGCTTCGGTACATTGTTGGAAACGGGGGTTGTTAATTTTTGATCCTTCTCGACCACATCACCTGTTCTAAAAGACTTTTTACGAACCATGAGAAAGAGTACATTCAAAAGTACAACACGAACTGTATTCTCATTTTTGCTATATTTTTTAAATACCAGATTTTCAAAGCTTTTATTTTTTTGTCTTTCGTATAATCTGGGTGGTTTTCTTGATTGAAGTTTTGAAATTAAAGAGAGATAGAGTATGTAGAGTATTTCGCTACGCAACTTTTCCAAAAAAAAATTAACTTTTCAGTCGTAAAGAAACACGAGAAAAATTGAAAATATTGAGAGGCCACACCCATTACAATTCCTGGGAATGTGATAGGTAGGGGAAATTAACAATATTCAAAATTTTTGCCAACAAATAATTTCAAATTCAGGCCGCTTGGAAAGCTGGGGCTAATAGAGAATTTCAAGCGTTACCAGAATATATAATTATTTTTCTAAAATGTATTTCTATATTCATAATAAATTCAAAAATATAACTGAAACTATTTTTTTCCAGATAGATATTTGTAGACTATCTATTATATGAATAGATAGTCTACAAAATATTGATGGTGAAGAAATGCTTTTTGGAGTAATTAGATAGATTTATTGTGATTTTCAATACGTGATTCAAACGGGTGCTAAAACATCCGAAATAATTGCTTAAAATTATCATTTACATTTAGTAACATAAATATTGGATAGAAAAAGAACATTAGAAGTAGTTTAATGAAGCAAGAAATTGTATGGAAAAATAGATTATATGATTTACGCCTTATTCTTTTAGAATACTGGATGGACCAGATTAAACGATACACTTTTGCACACAGTTTTTCTCTGACATAGATTTTGAGTAGAAATATTGTTTTAGTGCCAATCATACTTCTACATTTTATTTGCCTTCATTCTTTGTCAATTATTAAATCAATAAAACACCGTGGAAATATTAGAGTTTTCGAGTCTGCCAGAATAGAAAATCCTCTATCTTCTCGCACTACAACAGAATTTCTAGACCAAACCTATGTAAGAGAAAAACTGCGTACAAAAGTGTGTTATTTAATCTAATCTATATGTGTCAAATGGAAAAATTCCATTATAGTATTTTAAATTGATACGGTGAAAAAATATGAAATCAATTTTGTACGATTACAGAATTGCAGACTTGTAATACATGACCAATAAGTTTGTAAACAACAATTCAACTTTATTTAGCTGTAAAGTAACGTTATCTCAAGACAAAAATAGCTTAGCTATATCATTACCATAACAACCGGATGTAGTATCGGTTAATCAACACCGAAGAAACCGATGTTCGGTTTAAACCGACACTGAAAAAACTGAACATTGTTACATTCAAGAAATTTTCATAGATGGTACTATTTAGCTGTGAAGATGATTGCAAGCCAGAGAACCGATGATATAACAAGTACTCTTAAAAAAAAATAGGTACTCTACCAAACCTAAAATGGGTTTAAACTTTTGTCACCATCTATATACCTTTTTAAGGTTTCATACAAACTACGAAACCTTTTAAAGTTTCATACAAACTACGAAACCTTTTAAGGTTTCGTACAGTACCCTAAGTTCGTCACTGGAAAAACTTTGTGTAAAAACACAAAAAAAGTGTTTTCTCAGTGTTCTCAAGCTTTTCCCAGTCACGGATTTAGCTAAGTAAAACGGTATATAGTTTGTACGAAACCTTAAAAAAGTATATAGAAGGTGACAAAAGTTTAAACTCTTTTTAGGTTCGGTAGAGTACCTTTTTTTTAAGAGAGTACACCTACTACTTATCTAACTAGATATACACCAGTTATTTCGATTACTGTCGGTTAAGCGCTGAAGACCAACCGCCAACCGATATCGGTTATGCTTATAACCGACCATAACCGATAGATTCTGGGAAGAAATTCATCATTGTTCTGCGTCTAGAGCACTATAATAACTGACGCATGCCCCGGGACATAACACAGATGTTCAGAAGAAGAAACATATGCATACTCCATCCACTAAGGGGCAAGTAACAGATATTGAATTCGTTCTTCAAGTCAAGACGACGCAGATTTGTGTGTTTTTTTTTCTGGTTTTGGCGGCTTGAGATTTTTTGACTAGTCGTTGACCGAAACCGGCACACAGCTACGAAATATAAAGAAACATTCGAACTTATCCATTGACTAAGATAAAATCAGATGTTCCTTTGATAATAGTAAATAGATGTTATGTGCTAACTCTTTAAATCATTTTAAAACCTTAAACAAAAATGTTTTGGAGTTTTTCGGCGTCGGTTTAGAAAAGAACATCGGTTTCTTCAATGTCGATTTTTCGGTTTGAAAATCGAAACCGTTGCATACCTAGATGTAGTCGGTTATGCTGAACATGTCTTATTTATCGTCGATCATTCTGTTTTTCTCTGCGATATATCCCTTGCCTACGGGATAGCCAGAAGCAAAGGACAACGTTTAGTGATATGTTTGTTACTGCGATTGTATCTAAAAATTAAAGAGCAAACAGTTCTATCCAAACAGTATCAAAAGCAGGTTTCTTCATTCACTTTTTCGTGTTGAATAACAAAAACTTGATTTCGAATCTTTACAGTGAAGAGGTCGCTCAAAGAATTACGTTTTTAAGTTAATTTATACGTTTTAAGTGTTATGTTTAAGCTTTTATTATAATTTTTTTTTAATTTTCACTCTGCAGAACCAATTTAAAACACTAAAACACACTTATTCTCACTCAGCTCGGTGTGCTCTATCCAACCATGTATGAATTAATGAAAACAAATTGGTGTGGAAACTATGAATTTCCGGCACCTTCCATTTCACTCAAAGACAATCTGAAATCAATACAAGTTCTTTAGTTTCCATATGCGAAGAATAACCTTTCCAACAATATTCAGGACTCATAAACAACTATCTCTTCAGTTATGGTGAGGTTAGTATATAGTATAGATTTCAGGACTTTTAGTAAAACTGTTATAACTATTAATTGAAGTATCGCTTGATGCGCTAAGCGACACTTCATTTTAGTCAAAAATGTTTGCTCTACAAAATAATAACCACTCCTCTGAGAGATGTATCAAAATCATGTGTTATTGCACCTCAATATTTATTTAATTATTCTTACAGTTTTTGTTTAGACAAAAATACTGTTCTCATTTATTAAAAACCAACTACAAATAACGTAGACAAAACGAAGGAACTTCTTTTTCACTGTTTTATTGACGATAACTAAAATAGAAATATCTTACAAAGTCGATAGTTAAAACTAGAGTTCACCAACAGAAGAAATTAGTCAGAGAGATGGCTATCACCGAGAAATAGAAACGTCAAAAGCAAAAATGGCATGAATAGTTGTAGGAGAGTTCGTATTTTTATGACATTGTTTTGTCATTGCCACGTATCGGTGACGTTGAGAGTGGTGGAGTCGTTGAGATTGGTTGTGGATGATGGTTTGTTATTGAATGATGAGGCGATGATGAGAGAGCAACAGCTGGATCTGGTTCATTGAACAATGGATTACGTACTTCCATTTCGCCAGTCTAAAAATAGAAATTGTAAAAATCTATGTTGAAAGATGATTTAGGCTAGAATGGTACCAGTTTCCATCAAAATATGTCGTCAATTTTAATTGGTTTATATCTTACACAACTCAATTCAATAATTGCATAAAGCTAAATTCACCGTTTTTTTCGCTTTGGAGGTTTTTGCTTTGGAGGTTTGGAGTTAAGAATGAATAATAAAAACTCATGGACTTACCGGTGCTAAACCTGGACATTCATAAACCGTATAATCTCCACCAGCCGTATCATCATCTGATTCATCTGAATTCACTGGTTTCTGATCCATATGTGCCCTAGAATGACAAGAAATAAAGAATTTTGTAAATTTTAATCAAAACAATGTAGAGTTTTAATGTTAGTCATGTTATTTCCAGCAAAAAAATATATTTTTAAAACAAGTAAGTCAACAGAATCAACATTTTTCATGATCACAGTTATGATTAGATTTCAGTTTTCAATAGATAACCTCTTAACTTTATTTTACATCTTACTTGTTTGATGCTCATTAGAAAGTATTATCTAATTTAAATTAAAACATACTTTTCTTTTGCCATCATTTGTAATCGCTGTTGTTGATAATGATACATTTGTGCGCTTTGTGCTAATTTTCGATCGGACATTGTTGACGACGGTGATATTCGAGAGTCTTTTGATGGTCCGGTGACACCATACGATGGATATTCAGCCTCAGCCGCTGCTTCAGCACGTTTTTGTACTCTAAATAGATGAATAAAATATATAGAGTTAAAATATTGATAGATATCAAATAGTTCTAATACATACCTGTACCAGAAGACAGCTGCTCCAACTAATCCGACTACACCAACTAAACTACACGTGGCAACAATAGCTAAAAAATACATAAATGTATACAAGAAAAGGGTAAAAAATTTAGATAATAATTTGCTATATAACTGAAGTTTTTCTCGGCTTGTTCAGTTTTTTGGAAAGTTAAGTGTCTACACTTTTAAACCTACCTAGAAAAACCGTGTCATTTCGTCGTTTTTTCTTGCCTTCTTCCGCTAATCCATACTGTAATCGTGCTAATATCTCTGTTTTACTATCGACAATCCATGGATAATCCGGATTATTAATATGATTTATTTCTTTAATTGGTGGAGTCAGTTTATTCACTTTTAATCCATTATCATCATTTAATGTTAGACCATCTGTAAGAAAGACAAAGTTTTTAGATGGCATAATTGTTAATTGCTTGAAAAAGTCTTCGAAAAAGACTGAGACTAGTACTCATCTCGATTATTATTTACCCGGTAACAAGTGATCATTTTTATGATGTTCACGTTTTACTGCATCGCCAATATCATCAACCAACGATTCCCATTGAAACGCATCACGTTCTAAATGAATATAAATAATAACAAAATCGTTATAGAATTAAACAGAAAAACAACAAACTCACGAAATAAAACAAAATGGTCAGGTTTCATCCAATCCCCTAGCATTACGAAAGCCCAGTAAAAAGTAAGGATTTCGTAACACAGTAAAAAGACATAAATTAAAAAAAAACAGGGCTTTCGTAAAGATAATGCAAAGGGATTAATGTCTAAGCAGATGCTATAACAGGGCTTCCGTAACGAAGTCTGTGGGTACTTTTTACGGTAAAATAGCTGAAGATTAATGTCCTCTAATAGGACTTTCGTAACAGCCTTTTACAGGGCTTTTATAACGAAGTGTATATTTTACTTTTCACGTTGAAATGATGTGTGATTGTACTCATTCACTCTGGCTGTTTCTATCTGTTTTCTCTTTCATTTACAATAAGAAGTATCATTCGTTACGAAAGCCCTGTAATAATACAGCATTATTATTTATATCTGGGATAAGAAGTACATATAGACTCCGTTACGAAAGCGATGTAAAAGAGTCTTACGAAAACCGTGTCAGAGCATCTACTAGAGATTAGTCCCTTGCATTATCGTTACGAAAGCCCTGTCAGAGCATCTACTAGAGATTAGTTCCTTGCATTATCGTTACGAAAGCGCTGTCAGAGCATCTACTAGAGATTAGTCTCTTGCATTATCGTTACGAAAGCCCTGTTAGTGATCTTAGTGACTGACTATCTCATAGAGAGGATTCGATCTCATTAATAGTGTTACGAAGGCTATGTAAAAACAGATACGAAAACCCTGCTATTTTTTTAGTACAAAAGCCCTGTAAAAAAAGAGGAGTTTGGATAAAACGCCACCAACAAAACAAAAAATTTTTAGCAATAAATAAACTTCTAGCACCAGAAAGAAGAGCTCAACATTCTAATCGCTAGAAATATAAGTAAAATATTCAATATTCTGAATATGAAATTTTTCAAATATTTCTTCAAACTATAACACAAGATAAACGAAACAAACATAAAGTCAGCAGTTTCTGTTTTGAACAAGCGTTTAGACAGTAGTAAGTCTCAGTTAACAGTCAAATTTATGGTGTTTTATTATCAAAAAACCGAGAAAAAAAAAATAGATTTTATGCTACTGTGTATAAATTGTTCTGTTTTTTTTTTTCTATTTCTATTTCTAATCATTTTGTTTTATCTTGTCTAGCACGACGACTACAATAAGCGGAAGAGAAGAGGAAAAAACACACTATTGTATGTTTTATATTTTTATCATCATGATGAACGTCATCAAAAAAAATTAGAGTTACGTGTATAGAATGAAACGACCATTCGTTTCTTCTAATCTATTCTATAATGGAATAAAAAAAAGAAAAAAAAAAGAAGAAATGTGCCTAGCTAGTATGTTTTGTGAAAAATGATGAAAAATTGATCGAACTTAAGATATGTGTTCAAGTGGAAAAAGAAAAAAAAAGACTCTGTATATTATTTGTATTAGTTGAATGAAGTGTGTGAACAGTAATAATTATTATCATTTGTAACAACAAAAAATATTCTAAGAATTATATTTTGATGATCATAATAAATAAACATCTCAAACTAAAGTGTGATTTATCGAGTTTTTTTCTATAGGAAAAAAATGACATTAAAATCACTCATTCTAATCTAAAAGAGATCAGATTCAAATGAACGTACAAAATATATTTTTAAATAGTTAACTTATATTTAATGAAAAAATATATAGTTTATAATTAAAGGTCAATCAATTGTTTCATTTAAAACTATTTTTCATATTTTTCAAATATTAAAAATTCTTAGAAATTTTTCTCAAATATTTAATTTCGAATAGAAAAAAATGCAAAAAAAGTTAAAAGAATAATTTTAAGTTCTTAAAAAAAAAAAAGTATTTTTATTAGTTTCATACAAAATCAGCTCCACTTATTCAACTTCTGTCTGTCTCATGTACTCAATAGAACATTAATGATAGATTAAAATCGTATAGTTGTAGTTGTATGAAACAAATTGTCATACAATTTGTTTTCTTGAACAAATTTTATCGCACTTTTTTTTTCTTGAAAAGAAATGAAATGAAAAGATACACATAAATTAAAGATTTTTTTTATGAATATACCTCCTGCTCAAGAGGAAAATCATATTGATGTCTAAATAGTCAACAAAAATTTGTTAAAAGTCATTTTAAAACTAATTTTGAGAATTATTTTATAAATTATAAGAGAAAAATTTCATTCTATTTGTAAAAAAAGAAAGAAACATGATTTGTATAACTCAATCGAACATACAAACAAAAAATAGTTAAAGATTTAATTAATATCATTATGTTCTCTAAAGATGAAATATTGATGAAAAAATTTAAGAAATGTTTGACTAGATAAATATATACAATATATATGATAAATCTATTCAAAAATATATTGTTTATAATTTTAATATTGTAATTAATGTTAAATAAAATATTTTAAATTAATAATCTCCTACTTTCATTTATTTGTTGTTCTTGTTCTTTTATTTTCTCCTCATCTGATTGCTGTTGTACAGGTTGATGATGAACTATTTCCTCATGATGTTGTGAATGATCATGGGGATATAATTTTGGTAATGGTAAATAAAATAATCTTGACGCTTGACACGTTTGAATTGTCAAATAAATTAAAATTAAGCGAGTTGAGGTAAACATGTTTTTTTACTCAACACACATGTTCACCAAACAACTTCTTCACGATATGTCATCATAGAAATATCATACGTAGACGAAATCATGTTTTTATTTTTTTTTCTCTTCGTTTTATTTTTTTTTCTTCTTCTTCTTCTCTTGATTATGACGTACGTTCATGAAGAAGAAAAAAACTGAACGAACAAAAGATGATGCACAGAGGAAAAGAAATAAAACTAAAAAAAAACAAAACATGGTACTGAAATAACGGAAATAGTGAAAAACAAAGACATTTTTTTTTTTTTTGTTTCTTTTTTTAGTATCATACAACGTTCTTAAATCGACAAAAATAGAGGACGACAAAATGGAGAGAAAGCAATCCATTTTTTTCTTCATCTTGTTTTTCTCAAATGTTATAATAAAAAAAGCATCTTTATTTTTTATTTTTTTTTGCTGTAGGCGATTGAAAAAATGAACAAAGATATTTAAGTTATTTTCTTTTCTTTTTTTTTGTTGTTTAGAAGTTGACAAAAAAAAAAGGGGAAAAAGAACGATGCCATTCCGTTTCTCATCCTCCCATCGTGTATTGAGAGAGAGAGAGAGAGAAAACGATGAGCTATAATTAATTTTTAGTCGAATCACTTCGTATTCGTTGCAACTATAGTACATGTCTGAAGTTTAACAGCTCAGGTACTTGACACGATAGTTTAAAATCTAATAAAATAGTGGGGTTTTTTTTTTCCTCTGTGTACGAGAAAATGTCAGAATATAAAAAAAATATTGAGTTTATTGTACATTTTGATCCATGTTCAAAAATACAAAATCAATTCTATTATGAATGAGAAATTCAAAGAATAAACAAGTATGATACAATATAGAAAAATCGACAGAGTTAAGAGATAATAATAAAGTCAACAAAACGTTAAATTAGAAGATAAAAACTACTTTTGTCACTAAAGTTTTACAGAGTTGCGTGATTAAATTAAACTGTAATTATTCAACAATTGATCGATCGATAGTAATAGTCAGCTTATCTATCATTTTAAGATATTTCTATAAAAATAGAATGATTTTGTGTATGTTTCATAGAGAAATGAAGATTTATCAACTTTTATACACAATGAACGAATTCATCTATTAGTGATCTTTGAAGTATCCTATGATCGTTCATTGAGAGAGGACAAAAGAAGAACATATTGCTTGTTCTACTTTCTCTCTCTCACATTGTTCTACAATGTATATAGTTAGTTTTTCGTTTATAAATGAGATTTATCATTGGTCTTTCGTCTATATTTTCTTTTTTTTTACTCTTTTAACAGAATACAGTAATGGTATGTTTTTTCTCCTTTAATGTGCTTTAGGCTACATATTAAAAGAAAAAGACGTAACAAGAGAACATATTTCGTTCAGATTTTGTTTCTTCTTTGAAATAAATGAAATTAAGACTTTTTATATACAAAGTATTTGAATAAATAACAAGAGCTTCTAAATCTCTAATATAAAACATAAAACCGAACAAAATTCCAAGTTTTCTTTCTATAATCACCTAATCCGAGACGTACAACAAAAGAAAGAATGTGTATTAATTTTTTTATTTGTCTGTTGATGGAATCAGTTCACAAACCATAATATTTGTAATCAAATAATTTAATTTTTCTCAAAATCTTAGCACTGTTTTATAATATAAACAAACAATGTTTATCTGTTTTTGTCTCACTGTTATATATAAATTCTTCTATTAGCCTTTTACCTCCCAAGGGGTTACCCATGACCCATTCGTAGAATTGTTATAAAAAGATAATGAAGTACCAAAAAGTGATGAAAAGCAAAATCTTCTTTTATTAATCGATACCTTATGCATTTCTCTTTCTCTCAAAAGCAATCCATTTTCTATCACATGCTTCATTATCTTTTTATAGTAATTCTGTGAATCGTTCATGGGTGATCCCGTGATACGTAAAGGGTTAAATATGATTATTTTAACAGTAAAAATAAATTTTATCACTTCTTGTGCACCTGAATGACTTTTTTGTTTTCCCACATTCACACAAAATGAAGGTCATTTTAACCTTGTAACTATTTATATTACTTTTCTGCACTATCGTTCTAATAAAAGTTAGAATAGAAGATAAAACTTGTCAACAGATCAATATGCACTCTTAGTCTTATCAGATAGATATTTCTACTCCAGATCAACAGTCAGCAGCGTATTCAGCATAAGAAGAGCACGCTCAGCGACTTTGCTATACATTACTAAACTGATTACAGAGGTCGACATGGACCGGGCTGAGCTAGAAAGGTTTTAAGATCGGTCAGGCCTTAAGTTTCTTTTGTCGAGTCTGATCGGGATGAGAACTTTTCTTTTGTAGCATAATAGAAAGAGCAGTCTATTAATACCACTTTATCTTGTGTGTGTAACCAGCCTTTAAATCAATAAAATCATTACGTTTATTACAAACATGTTCCTGATAAATATTGTAATATTTATGTTTCTTTTTCTAATATGTCACTGAATAAATAGGTTTATCTAGTGCATACAAACGTTGAAGAAGTAAGAACAAATATCATGCCATTATAACTGATAGAGTTGTATTATAAGCATGATTATATCAGTTTGTCAGTCAAAGCTATCAGCATTAAGGATGACGAAGGCCGAAAATAATTAAAAAAAGATCGAGCCGAACTCGGGCTTCAACTTTCCGCCGTTGAGCCGAGCTAGGCCGGGTCAGACAGTTTCGGCTCGTACCGATCTCTGACTAATTAAATGTGAAGGTGATGGAATCGGATGTGAGGTCATAAACTATGATATAAACTCATAGACATCAGTCGTATGAGAACCTGAATTTCACCATTTTTTGGCAACTCTCGTGTAGCAGAGTTGGCAAGGATATATGAACGTTTCCGCATTCCTTTTCCATATCTTTTATACATTTTTTATTTTTAGAAAAAAGTTTCATAAAAATTGATTCTAAAGGAAATATAATGAGTAGAAAAACAAATCTCTTATAGTGGAAGAGAATTAAATTGCAAATCAGGCTAATTTGAACTAAAAAGCTATTTTTAGAACAAAAGGAGAAAATAGCAGATTTTTTAATCAGTATTCTCTGCAACTTATGATACTTTTAAGTCCTCATCAACTATCAGAACCTCGATCTTAATCTAGTAATTAATGTCGCCGCCTTTCTACAATTCTACGGTCATTGGGATCGACGTCTGCATAGAACATTATTTTCTATTACTCTCAGAGTAATGAGCAAAAACTAATCAAAGTTTACGAAAATGAATAGAAACCGAAAGAAATTTAATAGTCATTTTGAAAAACCCTAAATGGTTTATCATATGCTCTAAACTGTAGGGTTTAAAAGAAAAAATTTTCTAAATCAAAAAAGGGTTTCTAAAAAGATAAGATGAATGAGAGTATTTTTTCATCAAATTCTTTCTTCATCTTCTCACCTAACAATGTGATCTATTGTTTTAATCTGAATGTTCAAAAATCCAGTCTCCTCTATGTTTATACCCTTTCTACCCTTCCCCTTTGTAGTAAGACGCGAAACGACAACTCGAAGATTGATACTGATCTAATGTTTCTAGGGTCTTGTGGATTAATTCTAACTTTTCTGAATACGAGTGTAGGAAAGGAATGATTGACAGCAATTTCTCGGGATTCTTTATAAAACTGAAATATACCGAACGGAAAGAAGCCTGTGTTGAGTCTCATTGACCGATATCTACCAAAAACGAGAAACCTCACTTATTGTGTGCGTGTTAACCTTATTGCATTATTGATCTGTTTTAAATGCAATGACCCTTCAGTGTGCTTCATAAAGTCGCCTTCACGACCAGATAATATTTCTCGTTCTTTTATTTTTCACCTGACACACAGGAGGAATTCTTTCTGGTCTTCTTATAATCGTTGAACTTCTACTTTTTTTATTTAGAGTGTTTTTTTTTTGCATTTATCACTTATTTTACAACTTACTTATGAGTTTTTTATAGGAAAGAAACTAAAAAATCAGACCATCTTGAACAGCGTCAACACTTTAACATGTTTTTTTATCTTTTATCGTCAAAGAGAAGCAAAAGTGAGTATTATACTTTTTCTTACCGTTTACGAATAAAATTCTATTCTGTTTATTACTGGAGAGGCAAATATGAAGTGCAGACGGTATGAGAAGTGATCATATCATTTGTATATTGTCCCAATTTCTAACAGCAACTCTCTCCTTAATAATAATCATTTTGTTTTTGTGTAGTGACAAATTAGGTTGGAGAACAGTGAACGATCGCACACTGTTAGAATATAAATTTATAAATTCAAGGTCTGAAGAAGAACGATCTGAAACACTGTGCAATTCGTAATTCTATTAAAGAAAAAAAATTGTATGGTAAGGAGTTGTGGTACAAACGGTTATAAATTTTTTTTTATTAAGTATCAGACACAGAGTTTTTTCAACTTCATTAGTTATACTCAATGTTTATTGCTTTAAAAGACGTTTTTCATTATTAAAAATTGAAAATTCTAATCAACGCTTAGAAAGTTTATCAGTTTTATTATCTGCGATTTTTCCATTTTAACAAATATAGCAGAACCGTGTTATTAACGTCTGTATTGGTTAACAACTACTTTTACTCGCTTTTAGTCGAAAAATTTAATAGAGAATAATGTTTTTCTCAACTTAAATATATTCCCGTAACTAAGAAAATCTCACCTCCGATAATAAGGTAAATAGCATTTCTTTTCACTTTTTGTTATTTTTCATTAAAAGTAGAATGACAATAAACTTAGTTAACGTACATAGAAACTTCATTGAATCGATTTTGTCATCTGCTAGAGAAGACATTTCTTTACAGAAATTTCTTCACGCGACATCTAATTCAAGAAAATAAAAATCACTTAACGTCATATTTTCAGATAAATCTCTAGCATAACACTAACGAATAGAATATACAACGCAAGTACTAAATCAACCTTCATATCTACTTATCATACTTCATCGCAGTATGATTTTTATTAATACAGGTAT